TGTCTCTTTCTACCTTAATATTGGTTTATTTGCTGTGGAAATATAAGCAGACTTTAATACTACAGCTGGAAGGATTTTTTAAAATTCAACTTTATAAATATTCAAAGCTTCACAAGTAATTACGGGATAATTGATTTTCTGTTAGAATAGGAAATTGACATTTGATTAGAGGAAACATTTCTTCCTTGTTGGGTGATTGACGAGTATCTTTTTTCTACCTGAAATCATTCCTTCAGCGTCTGGGTTGGGTCAGTGTGTCAGACACATGGAAGTATGTGCCCTATGTTTTCTTTTCTCTGTCAGCTTTTTCTTCCCCATAGCAGTTTTTAAGTAGCTCTGTGGAATGGAAGTATACATATTTAGAGGGTGGGACACAGGCTAAAAGCAAGCTTGTCACAAGTTGACGCTAGGTCTTCCTAATTGTCAACCAGAGGCACTTACTGATATAACTGAAGCAGTTTTTGTCCTGTACTTATTCCCTTTTGTGGTCTTCCCTTCCACCCACCCTTTTTTTTTTGTTCCTTTTTTCCTCTGTTACAGTTTAGAAAACGCTAAACCCTCCTCCCAGGCAGCCTCCGTCACGATCCCTGATCACCTCAGCATCAACCTCTCTCAACCCTCCACCCCTTCTTCTTCTTCCTCCTCCACCACCACCCCCTCGCTCGCCACAGCGGGGACCTCCGACGCACCCTCCAGCCTCCCCAACCCTCTTCCGACCGCCCCTTGTGTCTCCAGTCTGCTTGGCATGAAACCCATCCCTCTCCTGGCTCTAAATGTTGTGTCTGCTGCTAAGGGTACCGGGGCTTCAGCTACCACCACCACCACCTCTGCCGTGCCATGTGTAACTAACAAACTGAAAGGCGAGAAACAGAGATTCTCTCCCTACTGATTGCATATCTTGAGGCACCTCCTCCAGTATTATTTGGTTCATTTTGTTTTCCTTTGTTAACATTGGTGAGAATGAAACTATTGTGAGCTTGTTACCCTTTCCTTTTTACTACTTTGGGGGATAACTGGGTGGGGGTGGGGGGAATGGTAACCCTTGTTTAGGTTTAGGCCATTTCAGCCGAGTGCCTGTTTCAGGGTCTGACTTGAATTCTTTATCTAGAGCCACAGTTTTCTCTTCTTTCTTGTTTGTTACTCTTCTTTGTAGCTTTATTCTGCCTTGCAATATAACAATGTGTTAGGCTCTGTGTTAATTAATAAAAGCTGCTTCGTTAACCTTTTTTTTTTTAAAAAAAATAATTATTTAATGGTGAAGCTATCAGCACGCCTTCTTGGCCATATTTGTGTTTCTAGCTGTAATAAAGTTGGCGCAGTAAGAACCTTAGTATACTGTGTGCTGTGAAGGGTAAAGGGTTGGGGGCTTGTGACCTGTGGCTATTCAACTAGGAAGCCTGTATAACTGACATGGGTTTTTTGAATCCCAAGTGAATTTTATAGTCCTTTGTCAATATTCTCACAAAGAGATAAAAGCCTGCGGCAGTTTAGATCCTGAGGGTCCTCTGTAATTGGCAACAAGCTTCCCCAATGATGAAGTTTGTCTGACTTCTCAGATGGCCTTACCTTGCCAGCAGCGGCTAACAAGGTGTTCATCCCAGGATTCCTCTGGTGAATGGTTACCGTGAGGGATGTCTTCCAAGTCATACATACAGAGAACGTACTTCTTTACCCCGAATGAAGGGGAGGGGCAAAGTGGGATAAGTCTAATAAAATTAGGCAACTTCTGTCTGCATTCCTCTGAATTACCATTATGCCTCTTTCTGTGACATTAGGGTATATCTCAGCCAACCCGTGACATTATCCACAACTTGACATGATGCCATCCACTCATCCTAAACCAACTGTGTTAACCAAGTTTCTTTACCCTTTATTCCTTGCTGTATCCTTTCTCCTCCCCACCAACACTATCACGAGTAGGAAGTGACATGCTTAGATTTGGAAGGAACCTTAAGGATCAACTAATCTGTAACGCATTGATCCCCTCATTTTACAGATTAAAAAATAGAGGCCCTAAGATAATTTAAATTCGTAGGTTATGAGTGACTAGCCAGGACTAACAACTTAAGCTTTACTTTTACTCATATCATACTAACCTCCCTGAAACCTTGTTCATTTTCTTATGCTAAGATGGGCACAGGCCTCTCATAAAACACAAATGTACTTATATAGTGGCATAAGGCCTCTGATAGCCTTCCATTCAACCAGAGTACACATTGCCACAGTGCTGAAAGTATAATGTTCTTCCCAGGGCATTAGAGAACTCAGTGTAGAGATACTTCCCCTGATGACTTTTTCCCAGCATCCCCATTGGCTGACAAAAAAAAAAAAAAAAGCTGTTAGTATTCCAATATATTGTCTCATTCTGTGATGTTATTGTGGCCCCTCCATCCCAGATTGGGCCTATGAAGAAGTGTTACAGCTCCCAAGTATGCATAAAGGATTAGATGGCCAAACCTGTCCAGTTAAGAGTTTTATTTAGTTGCTCCTTTATCATGTGGTCTCTCCCTTGGTAAGCTCTCTCCTTCTGTAGTTAGGCCTTAATCATGCTGATACCATCTCCCCCCAGGGACCTGGTTTTGTTTATGTAGTTCTTGATTGGAAAGCCTCTTAATCTAGTGGCTATTCCCCAAGGAAGGATTCCACATGTTTAAGGGGCTAGCTACCATCAGTACTTCCAAAATACCTCAGTTTAAATTTTTTTTTAAAGCTTAGAGCTCCCCCATGTGGTCTTCTATCCTAGAATACCTGACTCAGTATTTCATAGCATTTCTCCTTGCCTCACCTGCACTACTCCAGCAAATCCCTATTTGGGCTTGATACACATTCAGGACATTTCTTTTAGAGCTCTGGTAGGGCCAGAGTGCTACCACCAATTTTTATAAACTTAAATTTTTAGGTCCTAGGTCTAATGGTATCTAGCAGTTCCTTCCTTAGACCTTCAGTTCTTACTGAACCCTTTAATTCACGGCTATTGTTTACCTTTCGGTAGATCATCGTGTTTTGAAATAGCACTAGTCTACCCCCCTTTTAAGAACTAAATATTCCCTTAAGCTGAGGTGGAGAAACCATTTCTGACTAAAAATAGTTTGTAGTCGAAGGACTTTTCAGTTTTTTGGCCCTTGCTTTTCTACCCAGCTTTTGGCTTTGCATTGTTGTGGAAGGGATACAGATGGTGAATTACCAGTCATGTTTTCATGACCACACATCACAAATACTTTATGCCAATCAATTTAAAATCTTATGAAATAACTTCATGAAGTGAAATGAAGTCTTATACATTTGGTTCTATTCAAAATGAGAGCTGCCTGCCTGTCTTGCTGCCTGCCTACCTACCTACCAACCAACCAGTGAAGCATACCGAGTACTTGAATACTTTCCCTGAAAGCCCTAAATTGGATTCCAGGACCTTAAATGACCATCTCTTTGAAACAGAAAGGCATTGTAGCCAGGTATGTTTAGATGGAGGATATGGCTTGACAAGATCTAGGATCTTGTAGAGTGAGCTACAGAGTTAAAACAAATTATTTTGTCTGCTACTTTTAAGTCCTGAAAACTTTTTAAAAAACTTTTTAAGGCTGGGCGTGGTGGCTCACGCCTATAATCCTAGCACTTTGGGAGGCCAAGACAAGTGGATCACCTGAGATCAGAAGTTTGAGACCAGCCTGGCCAACATGGTGAAACTCCGTCTCTACTGAAAATACAAAAGTTAGCTGGGCATGGTGACAGCTGCCTGGAATCACAGCTACTCAGGAGACTGAGGCAGGAGAATCGGTAGAACACGGGAGGTGGAGGTTGCAGTGAGTTGAGATTGCGCCATTGCACTCCAGCCTGAGTGACGAGTGAAACTTGGTCTCAAAAAAAAACAAAAACAGTAAGGCTGGGCGCAGTGGCTCACGCCTGTAATAATCCCAACACTTTGGGAGGCCGAGGCAGGTGGATCACCTGAGGTCAGGAGTTTGAGACCAGCCTGGGCAACATGTTGAAGCCTGGTCTCTTACTAGCCGGGAGCGGTGGTGGCTGTCTATAATCCCAGCTATTGGGTGGAGGCTAAGGCAGGAGAATTGCTTGAGGGCAGAAGTTGCAGTAGTCACTGCGTTCTAACCTGGGTGACAGAGCTAGACTCTGTCTCAAAAAATAAATCAATTAACTTAAATAAATAAATTTGAGTATAATTCTTGACCCATAATTATTTTTACACCTCTTTTTAACATCTCTTTACCTTTAAAACTGTGTTACCTCATACCCTACACATTGATAGAACTTCAGGGCTTTAAAGGCCTTGAGTTGTCTCAGCATTAAACCCTTGAGACTACTCTCAGATGACTCTTTCTTTCCTAAACTGGTATTTTGTCAGCTGTGTGGGAGGAGCCAAAGTGAGCTCAGCAATAAAGAAATATTGCTTCTGTGTATTGTGAGCACTCTTTAGAGGGGCCTGTTTTCAGAAAGTATGCTCCTTGGTTAGCCCACCATGGAGGTGGAACTAAAAGAATATAGTTTGAGGGACATTTGATAACCAAGGGCTGTTTCCCTCGGTTCTGAGGTGATAGACCTCCACGTGCTTGGATTGCAAGGATTAAAGGATTATGGTACTGGTAAATTTAAGAAACCTTAAAATGTCTCCCTTGGTACTCCAGCACTGATTATTTACTCTTCACATTTCATGGACCAGGTAGAGATGAAGTGCAGCTGGGCACTGGGGAAACTAACTGAGTTCTTGTTTCTGTGTTACAGGCTTTCCTCGGAGACGGGTGGCATGGGGAGCAGCTAGAACAATGCAGATTCATCCATAATCCCTTTCTGCTGTTCACCACCACCCATGATCCATCTGTGTAGTTTCTGAACAGTCAGCGATTCCAGGTTTTAAATAGTTTGTAAATTTTCAGTTTCTACACACTTTATCATCCACTCGTGATTTTTTAATTAAAGCGTTTTAATTCCTTTCTCTGTTCAGCTGTTGATGCTGAGATCCATATTTAGTTTTATAAGCTTCTCCCTGGTTTTTTTTTTTTTTTTTTTTTTTTTTGGTTTTTTGTTTTGTTTTTTTGGCTCATGAATTTTTCTGTTTGTCATGGAAATGTAAGAGTGGAATATTAATACATTTCAGTTTAGTTCTGTAATGTCAGGAATTTTTCAAAAAAATTAAAAGATGGACTGGAGCTTTTTCTTTGTGAATAGAAACTGGATGCCACAGTGATTCATGTGGGTTTTATTCCTCTTGTCTTGCTGTTATTTTTGTACCTTTTATCCCTCAAAGGACCCTTCTTGGGTTTTGAATAGAAGCCTTTATTCCGGTTAAGATGTTTTCTTCTATTTTACCACTTCCATCTTTTTTTGTGGCCCTTGATCCTATTTTTCCCTGATTTCATGCTTGGTTGGCCCTTATAAAACTTGTGTCCAAAAGATTGAGGATTAGACTTTCCCAGGACTTACCTGTCCTACAAGCAGGCAAGCACATCCACTTGGGGGTGGGAGAAAGGAATGACACATGACATACATGGCATACACATTAAGCAGTTGGTCATATGTCTGACTGGGTTCCAGTTTCTTGGGAATGTTGGTCCCCTTGTTCAGGCTTGCATATTTTAAACTAAAAATTTCAGTGTATTGTTTTTAGTAATTTCATTTATAGTCCTCCATAACGAGTTAGAAGGATGTACCCGCTACCATTTATTCCTATAATTTTAGAAAGTTGGGGCTTGACATTATACTCAATTTAGTGAGAACAGATGCAAAAAAGTGGAGGGGCAGGAGAACTTGTCCAGACACCTTAGATGAAGTCCGGAGCCCAAGGCTTTATCTTAACCATGTATGGTACCCCATTCATTCATCAAGAAAACCCTCAACAGCTGGGCCTGCATGGAGTGGTTATATTTCAAGGTTTTTCACAGGAGTTACAGTAGGACAGTCCCCACCCCAATCAGGCACCAGGAAGAAAGTAGGGACTTAAACAGCACCCCAGTTCTTCAGCCTGAGCCATCACATGCTATCAGTCTCCTAACCTCCCCCTGGACCCTAAGACAGGGCTTGGGCAGAGAAGATCAATGGAGGGACAAAAAAAAGAGTTACATTGCCACCTGAGAATCCTCAGAGGGGAGGACCCAGCCTTAGTCTCCCTTCTCCCAAGTGCAAAATGTGTAAACAGAGTAAAACAGAACAGAAAAGTGCAGTCTTAAGTGGTTTTCTCTCCTGCCCCTCCCACCCTTCCCTCCCCCCACCCCCATTCTTTGGGGATAAAGAATATAAAGACAACCCTGGCTTTTCTATTGCCTTGTTGCTTGCTGAATATAAGGAATGGGGTGGGGCAGGAAGGGGCCAGTTTGCCATTAGGCACAGCTCTACGGCTGTGCCTCATTTCCACAGCTGCCAGTGTCCCTAGAGTATCAGGTGAATTGGTCAGGGGATCAGTCTCCCTCGGCCTGACTTATGGCTGGGACAGCCCCATCTTTCTGTTGATTATGTGGCGCATATATATATATATATGTATATATATATAATTTATATAAATATTTCTCTATGTACAAGGAATATGAGTGGCTTTCATGGAGGGAGGGAAGCTGGGGGCCGCAAGGCATCAACGCTGCTGGAGTTGTCCAATTCAGTGCTGTCACAGTCTGAGTCCTCAGAATTGGGAGGGCCCTGTGAGAAAGAGTAGAAATGGAGTGAGATTCCTTAGGGTTCTTTGCTGGGGTCATTTTAATAGCCAGTGGCTTACTGACTTGTTTTTTTGAGACAGCAGTCTCGCTCTTTTGCCCAGGCTGGAGTGCAATAGTGCAATCTCAGCTCACTGCAACCTCCGCCTCCCAGGTTCAAGCAATTCTGCCTCAGCCTCCTGAGCAGCTAGGACTACAGGCGCGCACCACCATGCCTGGCTAATTTTTGTACTATTAATAGAGATGGGGTTTTACCATATTGGTCAGGCTGTTCTTGAACTCCTGACCTTGTGATCCACCTGCCTCGGACTCCCAAAATGCTGGGATTCCAGGTGTGAGCCACCGTGCCCGACCGGCTTAATGATTTCTTCCAGATTTCAGTTGCTCAGGCCATTCTCCAAGGTGTCAGACTCCTTTCAGAATCCTTCCCTGGCTGCAACTTATAGCTACATACAAGCTACTGGTCAGGCACCATAATAGATGCTCTGCAAGAGGCTTCTGAAATTCCACCACGTGGATATTTGCTCTTTATGGTACTTCTGGCCTGTGCAGCTGTCTCCCCAAAAGCTGTCAAAAGATAAGGCATCTATCTGCTTACAGCTCTCCCTGTTCAATATTTGCTTGTTGCTGTTGTGCCACTCACCTGCTTTCCTCTGAGAAGTTCCTGGTGTGGAATGGGCAGGGAGCTGGGTTCTGGGCTGGGGATGACCTCTGAAGGAGGTGGGTCCAGTGGGATTTCTGAGCCCTGGGAACACATGTCATCAGACCGCTCATCTGGCCGCTCATCAGTGTTGGTGCTGCCGACTTCAGGTGTGCCACTGGGGGAAGGTTCACTAGCTGTGCCTTCCTCCCCATCTGATGGATTCTCTGAGCTGAAGGTAGATAGTGACTGGCGCATGTTCAGGCTCTGAGGCCACCTACATGTTGAAGAGGGGGATTACAGCTTGGTTCTGCCCCTTGCAGAAAACAAAAATGCCATTAACTCCTGTACTCCATCACTTACCTCTGGCTTGATGTCAGCTCTACTTCACTGTCCACCTCTCCTTCCTCCTCTTCTGATGAGATGCCACGTTTCTGCAGGAGAGATGGGGGGACTGTGGTCAGAAGTGGAAAGAGGTCACTAAGAATCCAGGAGAAGGGAACATAGTTTAAAAGGGTAAAGTAGGGAATGGCTTAAAATTGAGCATAATGTGGGGGATTAGACTTGGACCCCAGGGAGAATAAGGAAAAAGGGAAAGAGCTCAGGAGCCTTCCCATACTTTACCTGACTTCGGGTGACGGCAGCCCTGTACAGCAGTGCAGCTGGGGTCAAGTGCTGGGACCCAGCCCGGCTTCCTCCCCGGCCCGAGGTCCCTTCCCTTCCAGTTCCCAGAAGCCCCACACCTTCACCGGGCCCTACTGGAGGAGGTGGCTCCCCTTTGGCTCCCCCAGGTGAATCTGGGCTGGTGGAGCCAGGGGCTGATCCCTCACTTGGTGGGGTGTCACCCCGGGCCGGAGGTGGTGAGCCAGGATCCCCAGCTCCGCTTGTGGCCCCCCGGCCCCGGGACCCTAGTGCTGCTGACAGCAGGTCTGGGGATGATGATGACATTTTGCGGAGCAGGAGGTCATGATGAAGCCCACGGAGGGCGGGAGGGCAGGCCTCCCAGGCTGAGGGTCCCCCTCCTAGGCTTCCTGGTCCTCCAGGTTCATGGGGTGGCACAGCTGTACGAAGCCCAGGCAGGTCCCCACAGCTCCCCTTGGCGCTGGCCTTGCGGTGACGGGTCTTGCCACGGCGACTCCGTCCTGGTGAGGGGGGACCCTTAGGACACCCAGGAAGCCCAACCCCACTTAGGGCTGCATCTAGTTTAGGTAGCAAAGACTCTGTCTTGAGGATATCTGGTCTGGAAGGAGAGAAAAAGTAAAAGGTTGAGACTGCCAAATCTATGTACTCAAAAGCACTCCCTAACCTTGGACACTAAAGTACGCATCTCCCTGCTAAACATCTGCTGCCACTTCAGTATCCCTCTTGCCATATTGGAACCACCATTCACGTCCCACCTTTTGCTATGGGGTGACAGCTTCTGTGGCACATTCCTCTTCTTGATAAGCTTTTCCATTGTGTTTCCATGCAGGAGGCCCCGGGAAGGGTGTGTCTTCAGCAGGCCTGGGCACCTCCGCTCTAAAGCTTGCTCTCGCCTAAAGATCCAGGCACCTTCTCAGCTGGGCAAATGACCAGGAAGGGGCACCCCGGTCTCAGTAGGATCTCTAAGGCAGGTACAGCGCCAGGGCTTGGTGCATAAGGACAGGTAGGGTTACCTGAGCAGCTCCCTCTCCTTGAGTTCCAGCTGCAACATGAGGGCATTAAGTTCCATATACAGGTTGTTGGCTCTCTCCAGCTTCCTTTCATAGTGCTCCCTGATGTCCAGGGCATGTCTGCAACAGGCAGAAGGGTTCCCTCAAGGTGAACTGGGTTCATCTAGGGCCATAATAGATCTGCAGTCTCAGAGTTCCTGTCCACGGTCCTTTCATAGTCCTTCCACCCGCCCTGGGGCTGGGTAGGAGCTGACTGGGTGCATAGTCCTTGCTGTTGGTAAAATCACCTCCCCGAGCACAGGAACTCACCTGAGCTCCTCCCTCCTTCTCATCACCAGTTCCTCTTCTAGGCGGTGCAGACAGGTCCCTTCTGACTTAATCTTTTCAAAGTGCAGTTTTACTTCTTCCCGCCACTCTGCCTGTGGGTGGAGAGCAGACGAGGAGTGAGAGCCATCCCTTCACCCAGTGAAAGCCTCTGCAGGTTGCCCACACGTCACTGCCAATGTGTGTGCTGGAGCAAAAAGGAGTGGATTGACTCCGCTAAGAGCCAATCTCTTCAGTCCCACTTAACCCATTTCCCAGCCTCCCCCTCAAATGGCATCATCTCTGCAAAGAAGGGGAATTAGGTATTCATTTTCCTACCCACAGCACACCTGGGACTTAAAGTAAGTCTCCTGGGGTGTGGAGAGTACATCAGCTGAGGCAATGTCCAGATGCAGCAGAATCTGTCGGAATGATGGGCGATTTCGCGGTTTGCTATTCCTGAAAGGAATGGAGTTAGGAGGAAAGGGGAGAATTTGAGGGAGGACCAGATAGGAACTAGAGCATCCTTTCCCAAAGTGTGTCCTGGAGAATCCAATCCTAGAATGTACTCTGTGACAAAAGAACTTATGGTCAATGGTCTCTAGGGAATATTAAACACTCTTCATTAGTGCGTCAAAATCCTGCAGTAAGGAAACCTATTGAACCCCATATTTTCCAACTTGTCTCCCCAAATAAAGGCCTTTTCTGAATAACTTCACTGAAGGAACCACACTTTGGGAGATGCTCAGTGACAGATAAGCCATCTTCAAACTTCCCTGGGTCTAGGTTCCAAATGAGGGTCTGGGACCCTTTCCTTCTGTGTTCTAAGGTTGTTTACTTGAGGCTCAACGAACCATGCTTGGTAGTTATGCTGCTCCTTCCCTGTACTTGTATGCACTCACTGGCACTTCATGACAAACCAGGAATGCAGATATTGTTAACTGTATTTTATAGATGAGGAAACAGTTTCAGAGTGATACCACTTGTCCCTGGTGACTCAGCTCAGAAGGTAGCATGAGCCGGATTCAGATGCAAGTCAGTCCTTTGTATTAAATGCCCGTGCTATTTATTGGTCAGTCCAGCCCCTCTCAGTTGTAGATTGTAGTTCCCTGGATCCACATCCTGAGTCCTCAGTACTTGGGGAGCCACATCTGGGAGCCCTGACACCCTTCCCCTCTTAAGGATTCTGAACTTGGCCACCTAGGGTTCTAGGTACTGGCTGTCCATCAGTACTGCTGTTCTCGACTTCTCCAGGCCCAGTATCCCAGCTCAGCCCATCCTTACCAGCACTGGCGAAGTAGGATCTTGAAACCATCTGGGCAACTGGAGGGCACGGGCAGATGGAGACTGTTGCTTCCCACACCCCAGATGATGGCTGAGGAATCTACGTCTTTGTAGGGGATCTCACCAGTCAGCAGTTCCCACAGCACCACACCAAAGGACCTAGGGATGAGGGGACATCACTTGGGAGGGGTTCCTCCAGAGGTCCTGGTTGCTCCCGGCCCATCACTTGTGCTCAAGCCCTAGAAGCTGCCCACCATGCCCCCAGGGCTGGCCACCCACTCTTCTCAGTTTTCAGCCTAGTCCTCACCAGATGTCGACCTTCTCAGACACAGGCTCATTGCGGATCACCTCAGGGGCCATCCAGGCTACTGTCCCTGCAAAGGACATCTTGGTGCTCTTGTCACTCAGCTCCTTGGAAGTGCCAAAATCTGAGATCTTCACCACATCGTCGTAGGTGATTAGCATGCTGGTAAAGAGTGTAGTCAGCTGGGGTCCACACCCCTCCACACACCTCATCTAACTCTGCAGCAACTCTGCCTTTCAGGTTTTTTGTTTGTTTGTTTTTGAGACGGAGTCTCACTCTGTCACTCAGGCTGGAGTGCAGTGGTTCAATCTCAGCTCACTGCAACCTCCGCCTCCTGGGTTCAAGTGATTCTCCTGCCTCAGCCTGCCGAGTAGCTGGGACTACAGGCGCCGCCATCACGCCCGGCTAATTTTTTTGTATTTTTTTAGTAGAGTCGGGGTTTCACCGTGTTAGCCAGGATGGTCTCAATCTCCTGACCTCGTGATCCGCCCGTCTTGGCCTCCCAAAGTGCTGGGATTACAGGCTTGAGCCACCGCGCCCGGCCTACCTTTCAGTTTTAAATCATTTGGGACACCCAAAGGTGAGGGGCTCACTACAGCCCTCCTGAGATGGGACTATCACTTGGAAGAGGTTTCTGAGATGGCCACATGGACGTAGGGCATGGTTTGGAAGTGCGGAGAAGGCCACACTGACTTGAGTGGGTCACCTGCATGCACATCTGTTGCTCCCTGCTTGCTTACTCACTTGGGTGACTTGAGATCCCTGTGGATAATCTTGTGTAGGTGCAGGTAGTTCATGCCACCGGCGATGCCCATGGACCAGTCAACCAGTAAGGAGGGGGTGACAGGGCGGCCAGCCCGCAGTACCTCATATAGCTGGCCCTGGGCGCAGAACTCCATGAGGATGCAGTAGCAGGGAGCCTGGGTACACACACCCCTGCGAGACAGACAATGGTATGAAGGCCTCAGTTGGCTGAGCCTTCACCTGATTAATACCTGGAACCCCCATTCCCACCCATTCCACTTAAGGGTCTCCTCTGGGAAGGATGGGGTAGGTCCCACTGCCCAGGAGGGTACCAGGCCTTAGCATAGTATCCCCAACACCCAGCCCCTGCCCTGGACCTCACTTGAAGGTGATGATGTTGGGGTGCTTCAGCTTTCGCAAGTGCTTGATGTCGGTTTCTTTGAGGTCTCGCACCTTCTTCACAGCCACCTCCTCCCCGTGGAAGCGCCCCAGGAAGACAGCACCCTGGGCCCCTGAGCCCACCCACTGCAGGTCCAGGATTTCCTCAAAGGGGACCTCCCAAAGGTCTGTGGGCAGGAGGCACAGTGCCACAAGCCTCAGAAAGAGCCACACTCAAGGCCAGGGACGGGATAGCATTGGGTTGGCTGAATTGACTTAAGGAGGGTGAGGCAGAAAGGTAGCCAAAAACAGGCCGAGAAGAAGGTTCGAGGGAACAGGGAAGGAATGAATGGGTGACCTTAAAAGAAGCTGGGAAGTTAGAGGCTGATGGATGGCTAAGGGACTAGGGCCATGTCATGGGGAGGGAAGGGACCATTGCATGACTTTAGTGGAGCTGACCAACAGATCTCGGGCTCAGGGAAACAGGGAGGAGGCTCCCACAAGGACGTGGCCTACCTTCCTGCTGCTGCTTGTGCTCAGTGGAGTAGGCTTTGCCAATCATGGTCCAGACAGGGCGCAGGCAGCCAAAGAGGCCCTCAAGGAAGCCACTGCCACTCTGGCACTGCAGTCGCACCTCGTCAGCTCGAACTCTGGATGCCCGACTCTCAGGTGACCCAGCTGCGCCCCCTGGGCCCCCTGCATCCTGCTCATGTAGCTGCAGGACACTGTTGGCAAAAGGCTCAGGGGGCGGCTCTCCACCTGGGGAGGGGCTGGGCCCTCCCCCACCCTGCCCACCAAGGGGTACCACATCTCGAAGTACACACTGGGTAGGCGTCAGGTCCTTCTCGGGAGTGCAATCAGAAGTGTCTGGGTCCAGCTTGCGCATGGATGCCTCACTTAGGGTAGACACGAAGCCCCCAAAGGAAGGAGAGGGTGTTCGGGTCTCATGGAGGCAAGCCATGGCCTCTGGCCCCTGGTGTGATGGTGAACACTGGGCCCTGTGGGAATGAAGGAAGGAGGGGCTGTTAAAGCCCCAGGCGTGCCCGCTCAGGATGCTTACCCCAGAGGCACAGATTGGAGTTCCGGGTTCACAGAAGCCCTGTTGAAGGTAACACTTGTGGCTCCGTTTCTCATGCCCCTCCAAGTTGCACCTTGACCCATCTTAGGAAATCTGATACACTTGGGCTTGCTCTCAGGCATGTTAGTAAGGCAAGTAATAGGTAGACAGGTATCGTACCTGGGTATCATTCTCAGGTAGCAGCCCCACGTGGGTACACACTGGTAAAATATGTCTCAAATTCAAGTATAATGGTAACAGATGAGTTCCCTTCTCCCTGTAAGATGACTAATTCATTGCTGTGGCACATTTTTTTCACCTGAGACTCACAGGCACACACAGGTATCAAGAGGGTCTCACATTTACACCTTTACCTCGGGGTCAACCTCAGGCACACAATAGTAACACCTAGACCTTCCTCACACTGAAGCACACACAGGATGCTGGTAAACCTTTCAGGCACCCTTGGACAGCATTCCTGAGCTGCCTACATAAGGTGATACCCCCAGGCCTCCCGCCCAGGTACTTACACATGGTACTACTGAGGCCCTCTCAGGAACACTCAACTCAGGTGATAGCCTCATTCTAAGACACACTCCTGGGCCTCTCCAAGGTAAGTGAAGGTTGTAACCACAGAGTTCTGTGTCCCCCCAACATTGGCAGAAGCAGCCAATGGGGATGCAGACACCTGTCACAGAAGGCCACTGCTTCATCCCCCTTAGCCCTCCCTTCAGTCCAGCGGCTCTCCCAGGGGTCAAACAAGGTCTTGTCTCCTCTTTCCTCTTCATTGCCCTATCCCCTGCTCCTCAAACTTTCCAGGCAATGGGGATGTGTCCCAGTTCATAGCTGGGTGCTATTTAAAAAACAACTATTAGGCCGGGTGTGGTGGCTCATGCCTGTAATCTCAGCGCTTTGAGAGGCCGAGGCGGGAGGATCACCTGAGACCAGCCTGAGTTCGAGGTCAGGAGTTCGAGACCAGCCTGACCAACATGGAGAAACCCCGTCTCTACTAAAAATACAAAATTAGCAGGGCGTGGTGGCGCACGCCTGTAATCCCAGCTACTTGGGAGGCTGAGGCAGGAGAATTGCTTGAACCCGGGAGGCGGAGGTTGTGGTGAGCCGAGATTATGCCACTGCACTCCAGCCTGGGCAACAAGAGCAAAACTCTGTCTCAATAAATAAATGAATAAATAAATAAAACACAACCATTAAAAAACCTGAATCCGGCACGGCGTGTTGGCACATGCCTGTAATCACACACTTTGGGAGGCTGAGACAGGTGGATCACTTGAGCTCAGGAGTTTCAGACCAGCCTGGGCAACATGGCGAAACCCTGTCTCTACCAAAAATACAAAAAAAAAAAAAAAAAAAGCCGGGCATGGTGATCCTGTGACTGTGGTCCCAGCTCCTCTGGAGGCTGCGGTGAGAGGATTGCCTGAGCCCAGGTGGTGGAGGTTGCAGTAAGCCACTGCACTCCAGCCTGGGCGACATAGCCAAACCCCGCCTCAAAACAAAACAAAAAAACCCTGAATCCTGACTTGCTTCTGCCACATAATGGCTATATGACCTCAGGCAAGCTATGGTTGAGCCTCAGTTTTTCCAGCTATACAAAGGAATAAACTGGCTGTCACTAAGGCACAGCAAACCCTTAATGCTACACGAGATTTGCCCAGAACTTGGCACCAGGAGCCATCCTGGTCTCCCAACTCTCTCCACACTTGTCAGTTACCAAATCCTGAGATTTGAAGATTCCCTAGAACAAGCATCCCTCTAATTGTTCCTCATAGCTAGCAGGGTCCTTCCATGAGCCCCTGGGTTAGTCTGGAAATTATTGCCATACATTCTGAATTACAGTGGAGAATTACAGAGGAAGGGGTGGCAGGAATCTCCACATGCAGAAGGGTTCAGTAGATGATTACACAGGCATACAAGAAGGCTTGGGAAACTTCAATAGTTCTTGTAATACTTAATTACCAGGCCTTTCCCTTGAAGACTTTTTCCTGGGGGGTGAGGGTGGTAGGCCTGGAATCAGCATATTTAACAAGCATTCTAGATTTGTTAAGCTCTAACCCAGTGCATGCTATTTTCTAGTCCTACTGTTACTGCCTTAGTTCAAGTCTCATTAGCTGTCCTCACCTGGCCCAGGACAGCTGGTCTCCAAGTGCCCTCCCTACCCCCAATTCTTCACTCAGCTCCTTCAGAAGGATCTTTCTAAAACAGATTGGAGGCCAGGTGTGGTGGCTCACACCTATAATCCCAACACTTTGGGAGGCCGAGGCAGGCGGACCACCTGAAGTCAGGAGTTTGGGACCAGATTGGCCAACATGGTGAAACCCCATCTCTATTAAAAATACAAAAAAATTAGCCAGGCGTGGTGGTGTGCACCTGCAGTCCCAGCTACTTGGGAGGCTGAGGCACAAGAATTGCTTGAATCTGGGAGGAGAAGGTTGCAGTGAGCCGAGATCAGGCCACTGTACTCCAGCCTGGGCAACAAAGCAAGACTCTGTCTCAACAACAACAACAAAACAGATTGGGCCAGGCATGGTGGCTCACACCTTTATCCCAGCACTTTGAGGGGCCAAGGCAAGTGGATCACTGAAGCCTGGAAGTTCAAGACTAGCCTGGGCAACACGGTGAAATCCCATCTCTACAAAAAATGTAAAAATTAGCCAGCCAGGCACAGTGGCTCATGCCTGTAATCCCAACACTCTGTGAGGCCGAGGCAGGCGGATCATGAAGTCAGGAGATCAAGACCATGCTGGCTAACACGGTGAAACCCTGTCTCTAGTACAAAATACAAAAAAATTAGTCGGGCGTGGTGGTGGGCGCCTGTAGTCCCAGCTACTCAGGAGGCTAAGGCAGAAGAATGACATGAACCTGGGAGGTGGAAGTTGCAGTGAGCCAAGACTGCGCCACTGCACTCCAACTTGGGTGACAGAGCAAGACTCCATCTCAAAAAAAAAAAAAATTAATGGAGTGTGTTGATGTGCGCCTTTAGTTCCAGCTACTCGGGAGGCTGAGGTGGGAGGATATCTTGAGCCTGGGAGGGTGAAGCTGCAGTGAGCAGTGATTGCACCACTGCACTGCAGCCTGGGCGACATAGGCGAGACCCTGTCACAAAAGAAAAAACAACCGCCCGCACCAACACCGGAACTTAGCCATGTCAGGTTTTTGAACCAGGACACCCAATGATAATGGCTAACTTAAGGCTTACGGCTGGGCGCCGTGGCTCACGCCTGTAATTTAGCACTTTGGGAGGCCGAGACAGGAGGATTGCTTAGGCTTAGGAGTTCGAGACCAGCCTGGGCAACACGGTGAAACCCAATCTCTACTAAAATACAAAAAATTAGCCGGGCGGGGCGGCGGTCGCCTGTAGTCCCAGCTACTCGGGAGGCTGAAGCAGGAGAATCACTTGAACCCGGGAGGCGGAAGTTGCAGTGAGCTGAGATCGCGTCACTGCACTCCAGCTTGGGCGACACAGCGTGGCTCCATCTCAAAAAAAAAAAAAAAAAAAGGAAAGAAAGAAAAGAAAAACGAAACAAAAAAGGCTTACTATTTTTTAGCTTCCGGTAAAGGTGCATTAGCACTTTGCATATTTAATCCTCAAAACTGTAAGCTGGGCATTATTAGCCCCGTTTTACAGACTAAGGCATAGAGGTATTAAATAACCTGCCCACAGTGCCATAGCTATTAAGAAGCTCAAGCTCGGCTGGGTGCGGTGGCTGATGCCTGTAATCCCAGCACTCTGGGAGGCCGAGGTGGGCGGATCGCTAGAGCTCGGGAGTTTGAGATCAGCCTGGGCAACATGGGCCTGGGCAACATGGGGAGAGCCTGTCTCTGCTAAAAATACAAAAAATTAGCCGGCGTGGTGGCACATGCCTATGGTCCCAGCTACTTGGGAGGCTAAGGTGGGAGAATCGCTTGAGCCCAGGAAGTGGAGGTTGCAGTGTGCCACTGCACTCTAGCCTAGGTGACAGAGTAAGACTCTGTTTCAAAAAAAAAAAAAAAAGAAAGAAAGAAAGAAAGAAAAGAAATAAAGAAAAAGAAGCTCAAGCTTCACCCCCAGCCTGGAAGGCGCTTCTCATCTCTCTCCAGGTGTCACTTTATCCTGGACGTCCTTCTTTCCAGATCCGCTCCAGGTTAATGCGCCTTCCGGGCGGGCACAGCCCCGGTATGCTTCCTCTACCGTGGTTCCCATTATACTGGAGGTACAATGTGGTCGGGCCTCTGGCTCCTTTGAGAGCCTGGACAGCCTTTAGAGAGACGACTTCGCATCACAAGGCTCGCATCACATGGCTTGCAACAGCACCTGGCGCGCAGAAGGTGCTTGGTAAGGTGGTACCACTGCTCTACCCACCCCGGAGGATCGCCTTAAGCACCGCACACACACACAATTAGCTCCCTGAATCCTCAGAAGAGCCAGGTGAAGGAAGTACTACTGGTGCCATTATATTCTTGAGAGAACTGAGGCCCAGAAAGCACAAATCACAGTAAAGTTCAGCTTCCAAATCCCCAACATATCCCACGCGGTATTTGTGGCTTCAAGAGATAAGGTGTAGATTGCAATGCAAATCACAAACAAACACAGACCAAGTAAAATGCCAACATATGGGAGAATTTCGTCTGGAGGACCCAAGGGATTTTGCCTGCCACCCCGCCCCCCCGCGCCCCCACCACCTCCCACTCCGCCGCAAGCAGGGGATTCGCTTCTGGACCACCCAGAAACAAGGCCCAGGACTTGGACGCTCTCGCCTGGCAGGCCAGGAGGGAGGGATGGCGGGATTGGAGCGCTCGGGGAGGAGCTGGGGCCGTCCCCTGGACAGCTTGGTCACCGGCAATGGAAGGCCGAAGCCCAAGTCTGGGCAGCTCAAAGTGGAGAGGAAGGGGTTACGGCCACAGCGCCCTCTCCCGCTTCCCGACTTCCTTCCCGGCCGTCACGTGGCGCGTGGTTTAGGCGGGGGCCGCCGCGGCGGAAGGGGGTGGTCCGGGTGGGGAAGGGGAGGGGACACGGCCGGCTGGGGGAAGCGCTGGGCGCTGCGGCGTAACCATGACGACTGGGCCCGAGGCGGCGCGTGAAGTCACCAGGACAAGATTAGCCCCGGATCACGTGAGCGTGACGTGGGGGCGGGGCTGTGCCTGGGCCCCGCCCCTGACCTGGGCCGGCCCAGGTGGCTGGTTGCCTGGATGGCTGCGAGGATCGTAGGTGCGGACCCCCACCCAGCGGTCTGCCCCATCTGTGTTCCCTTCCTTCCCCTGCCCCCGCATGCAGAGAGCTCTTCGGCTGAGGCGTCGGGTATTGGCAGGAGGGGACTTGTGGGGTTGGCATTGGGGGTGCAGTACCACGGGGAAGGAAAGTAGGAAATGAGAGAAAGGGAGACGGCACAGAAAAGGTGAGGCAGGGCTAGAGGAGGAGGAAGGAGCCAAGACATATACAGACACCGGAGCAGCGTGAAGCGGTGTCAAGCCCGAGAATGATGGCTTGAAAAGCTGTTTGGAAAAGCAGAGGACCCTGAGAAAATGGAGATGAAAGGGGAGTGAGAAACACGGACAGCATCCATCTCCTTTTCTATCTAGAAGTCGAGCTTTGAGTAGGCACAACACCTGACTTTTTAAAGGAATTTTTCAGCCGTCATCTGGTTGTTTGACGACTAGGTGGTTTAGGCATAGAAAGGGTGACATGCTCAGAGACACTTGCAGCCAGCAGAGCCTCCCTCCAGTTTACCAGGCTTCCCCAGAGGCCCTTCTGGTATCCAGGGCCAGCAGCTGGGGAGAGGAGGAGAGAAGCCATTTCACCTGTTTGTCTTTTAGGGTAGTGGGGATAGCTGAAGAAGTAGGAGATGGGACCAAGGGAAAGATCTCAGGCTAATGACAGCTCTTCCAGATTGACCTGGAGTGGAGGGAAAGCTGCTGCCCCTGGGAGCTATAGTAAACTGGAGATTCCTCTCTCCCAGCACACACACACACCCCTTTCTGTTTCCTTTATTTCTGACCTGCCAGCTGTGTCCCACTGCCCCCTGGCAGGGCCTTGGCGCCAGAGCTTTGGAGGGGCGTCTAGGATGACTAGGAGCCCCTGGCCCAGACGTTCAGTCACCCTGGGGGATGGGAGCTGTCTCTCCGTTATCAATTATGCAGAGCATGGGGGAAGGGCAGCAATGTGACAGGAGGGTGGGTCTCTCTGTCACTCTGTCAACCATATCTACCATGTGTTGATGGTGGTTCTGCCTCACATTGGGTGAGGGGACAGAATGATCTCTAAGCCATACAACTGCCAGGGGAGGAGGCTCTTTGGACACCCAAGAGGCCCTAATTCAGTGCTTTGCTGGTGGCCCCAAAGTGACTCCATAAGGAGGCTACAGGGTAGAGTGGGGTAGAAAGTCACTCGCCATCTATCCCACCTTCCAGGTTCTCTGGCCTGAGATTTTGGAAGCCTGTGGCACGTAAACTCTGAATTCTCTCTACCTCCTTCTTGTATAACAGCAGAATGTCAATGTCAAGCTGTTTGTTTGGTGGTCTTAGGGGCTCAGTTCAGAGGCCAGGTCATCTGCCTAAATCTTGGGCTGTCACACTAAGTGCTCTCCACTGTCTGAGACCTCATTTTTTACTCAGGAAAAGGATGATTCCCTTTCTCTCGTGAGTGGGGTTAGGGAGGGGAGTCTTCAAAGGGAAAGGAGACCCAAGACTTTGGAGTCCTAATTCCACCTCTGCAAGCTTTGAGGCCCTGAGAGGATAAAGGTCTCTGATGAATCACGGCCATGCCTCCTGTCCCCTTGGCTGCAGCTTGTATTGTTTTTGAAACAGGGTTTCACTTTGTTGCCCAGGCTGGAGTGCAGTGGCACGATCACGGTTCACTGGCTGCAGCCTCAACCTCCTGTGCTCAAGTGATCCTCCCCCTTCAGCCTCCTGAGTAGCTGGGACTACAGGCACTCACCACCACACCAGACTAAATTAAAAAAAAAAAAAAAAAGAGGCCGGGTGCGGTGGCTCACGCCTGTAATCCCAGCACTTTGGGAGGCCAAGGCAGGCAGATCACAAGGTCAGGAGATGGAGACTATCCTGGCTAACATGGTGAAACCCTGTCTCTACTAAAAATACAAAAAATTAGCCAGGCGTGGTGGCGGGTGCCTGTAGTCCCAGCTACTCGGGAGGCTGAGGCAGGAGAATGGCGTGAACCCGGGAGGCGGAGCTTGCAGTGAGCTGAGATCGCACCACCGCACTCTAGCCTGGGAGACAGCAAGACTCCGTCTCAAAAAAAAAAAAAAAAAAAAAAAAAATTGTAGAGACCATGTCTCACTCTGTTGCTCAGGCTGGTTCCAAACTCCTGGGCTCAACTGATCCACCAGTCTCGGTCTCCCAAAATGTTGGCGTTACAGGCATGAACCACTGTGTCCTGCCCTGCAGCTTGTTTTTATTTTCCTTTTTACAGGATTTGTGGTCCTGGCCCCAGGGTCCCAAGATGGAAAGTACTATCGCTTTTCTTAGTGCCCTCATGAGGAGGAAATGACTTCCCCTGAGAACTTGGGGGAAAACTGGAGATCACCCCTAAATTCGGGTCCTTGATTGGAAAATCAAGCCCTGAGACCCCCAGCTGCCACACTTCTTCCAATGGGGTGGACAGTGAAAGGGTTCAGGGAAGGGAGGGACAGTACTATTTAGGAAAAAAGAATCAGCTTCAGATTTGGAGAGATCAGAGCTAGAATCCCAGTTTTGCCACCAATTAGTTTAAGGAATGTAATCTCTCCATGGTGCCCAACCCTCCCTGCTGGGGTGGTGAAGGTTAAGTAAGGTGATGGAGGGGGTGCAGGGAGCAGCATGCTTCCTCCTTGCTTTGTCTTCCTGGTTGGCTGGACACCAGGTCTTTCTTTGTGGATCCTTGAGAGGCTGAAGACTTGGTCTCTGACCTTCTGCTTTCCCAGGACAAACCGTGATTTCAGGTTCCAGGAGAACCAGGTCACAGTGCTAGTGATTGTGCTGGAGTCTCCAGTCATTCCTTTACCAGATCACCAGGCCTTCCTCTGTAAATCCTGCCATCCTGTCTCCTCTGGACTAAGGGGGAAGGCCTAATTTTCTGCACCCATCCTCACTCCCTGACCAGTTATCTCTGGAATCTGCTCTCTTAAGCAGCTATACTGCTAAGATCCTCCCTTTGATCATGTGGCCCTGGATCACCCCTCAGCCTTACCCATAGAGGCCTCGGGGAAGGGGAGGGCAGGAGCAGGGTAAGATGGGCCTCAGGAGTCCCTCCTACCTAGGACCTCAGATAGACCAGGAAGAAGTCCAGTGGATGTTAACAAATAGTTCCTCAGCTGGATGGACATTTTTAAAAATCTGGAAGAATAAATACCAAAGTATAACAACAGTTTCTAGGTAGTTGGAATTATGAGTGTTTTAATTTTCTCCTTTGGGTTTACGTCTATTCCTAGTATTTCAGTAACAACTTCGAATTGCTTTTAAAGTAAGATATAACATTTATTTTAAATTGTAAAAGAGAAAATAAGATTGATGGACTGCTCATGCATTCCTTCATTTAGCTTATTAGGACAGTTGTGCAATAGGGAGAGGGTAGGTGGTAGAGGAGAGAACACAGGCCTCAAACTCAGAGTGGCTTCCTGAGGTCTTCTCTCTGCTCCTGGCCAGTTGGGTGACCTGGCTTGAGACTTCTCAACAAACCTCAGTTTCTTCATTGCTAAATGGGGACAGTGGTACCTATGTCCCACAGTGGCAATGCAGTACATAATGTGGTGGGTAAGAACACAGGTTCTGAGTCACACAGACCTGGGTTCAAATCCTACCTCTTGCCACATACTAACTTTTTTACTTTAAACAAATTACTTAAGTTTCAGTTTTCTCCTCCATCAGAGATGATGATAACACTATCTCACTTGGTCTTGTTAAGGGCATGATTAAGACAATCAAAATAAAGTTCTTGGCCCAGGACCTGGCACACAGGAAGCTCTCTCTAAGCATTAGCCATATGGAAAGTGCCTAACACACAGTTGTATGTTTTTTATGAATGTGATTCCCTTCCCTTCTTTCCCTTGTTCTTTCTCAAAGCAAGTACCAGTAGGGAGGGTACAGGTGGAAAGGGAGGTGGAGAAACAAGAGGGAAAAAAGACCAAAGAATGAAGGAACCAAAGGACAAGGGCTTTATCCTGAATGATCTTTAGCCTCCTCTGGAATCTGGTCACTGTCGCAGTCTCCTCACCTTCCCCACACACACATATGACCCCAGTGCTTCTGGGAGCCAATGAACAGGACAGACTAGTCTCTGTGGCCAGGCCCTCATGAAGCCCCTATGTCCCCTGCTGGCATCATCTCAACAGTATCGTCCTTCTTCCCAGCATCACCTCAGTCAACAGTGTGAGTGAGTGGATGAGTGGCGTGCATGAGGGGCAGACATTTCCACCTCACTGGAAGAAACATGGCAGCTGGGGGTCCCAGGGCTTGACTGGTATAGGGCTGAGGACCTGAATGTAGGGGTGATCTCCAGTCCACCCTAGCAAGGACTTCTTATGGGGCTGATTCTCTCATTCCTTCTTTCTCTCCAGATCCAGGCACGGGAGAGGGAGGACTGTGGATTACAACAGTCTGGGCCATGAGTGGTAGAACCAAGGGTCCTCTTCCTAGAAAAGCCTGATCCTACCATATTGTCACCACCAGGGGAAGAGCAATTGGTTTTTAGAAGGGTTCTGCCCTCTTTAGCTATAAGGAAGCCTAGGAAATCCTGAGCCACATCTAACTTCTTGCCTCCTCTGTCCGTAACTGGGATGGGTATTTAGCTGGTGGTCTCCATATTGAGAGCTGGGGTTTTCCCAACATTACCCCAGTTGACAATGGGAGTGAGTGGATGAATGGTATGCTTGAGGGGACACACACGTTTTTTTCACCTGTGTGAGATAGGAGGGAGTGGGGCCCTAAAGCTCAGAGAAACTTCAGTGTCTGGACAGGAAGGCTCAGGGGGCACTTGAGTCCTTTCCTTCCTAAATCCTTTCTGTTAGCCTTGGCTTGGTATGACCCTCTGGCTGAAACTCAGAGCTCCTAGAGCGATGGAGTCCACCTTGAGAACTGCAAGGGAAATGTGTTTAGAGGGACCCACTGACTGTGGCTTGAGACAACTCTGGGTGGGGTAAGGAGACCTCATGTGCACTCCCTCCTGATTGGAGGCCACTCACCTACGCTCCTCTGAAAAAGGCAGCAGATGAGCATCTACAAGGTAGGACTCCTCCCTTAATTCTAAGGGACACCTCACTGTTTCCTCCCACTGTCTACAGAGCCTTGACCCTTCCCTCCTCTCAGTCAAGGCCTTGGTTACCAGCAAGTCTCAACTCTTGCTTATTTTTAAGCCAATGAGTTTGAGGAGTGTTTGTGGGAAAGGGAGGAGGTTTTTGGAGGGTTTGACTGGGGGAGACAGGTTAGGGGAGCCAGAGGAGATGGAGAGAAAGAGGAGGGAGAAACCCACACGTGAATGGGGGAGGGGAGGATGCAACAGCTGGATGGAGGTGAATGCCACAGCTGGAGGGGATTAGGAGGATCACAGCTGGAAGGGGAGGGGACCAACGCCTGGGCATCTAGGAACAGGTGCTCTCTGACTAATCTTCAGGTCCAGCCTGCTAAGTGTGTGTGTGTGTGTGTGTGTGTCTGTCTGTGTGTGTGTGGAGGGAGATGTGGGTACATCAGTCCTTGCCCTTCCTTTCCTTCCCTGGAGGGGGCCAAAACTCTCCCTCCTCCTTCCCTCTCTCCCTTCCTGAGGATGAGTGGGAGGAGATGTTCTCTTGCCCTCTGTCCTTTAAGTCTGTCCCCCAATCACCCTCCACCCCACCCCAATACGGTCCTTTCCAGCTCTGGAGGCCCTTCGTCTCCAAGCTGGGCCGCGGCATCTCTCCGCTCCATTCCCTTCCTTCCCAGCCCCACACGCGTCGGGTCCAGGTCCCCAGTTCCTCCATCCCCACAGCTTCAGCATCCCCACACCACCACCCCGCACCAGGCCACATCTGCATCCCGACCCTCCCTCCACGCCCGGATCCCAGGACCCGGACCCATCCCTGCCCCCCACCCCCCCACAACTCGGCCAGGCTCTCACCTCGGGGGCTCCGCGGCCGCAGCACAAAAGGCGGCGCTGCTGCAGCTCCGCTCCGGATGCTGCTCCCGCCTCCTCCTCCTTCTCCTCCTCCTTCCCTCCTCCCCCCGCTGCCCTCCACCGGACCCGGGGCGCTGTCACAGGCGATGCTCGTGCGGTGTCCGGATGCACGGGTGTCAGCTTCAGCTTGCTGCCCCCACACCCCGACCCCTAGCCCCGTCCCTGCTCGGCTTGAACTCCCGCTCCTTCCAGGGCCCCCGCCCCTGGCCCCCCGGGACGGACACGCCCTGAGCGGGGGATGCTGCGATGGAGCCGCCGGCCTCTTAAAGGAGCCCGCTGCTGCCATCCGGCGCGCTCCACTCTCGTCCCTGGCCCGCCTGGGCCCCGCGCTTCCCTGCTGGCGGTGTCCTATGGAGGTCCCACCTCAGGCCTTAGGCTGATTCCACAGGAACCCCCTATGACTCGTCTTATAGACTCCTTTCTACATTGGAGAGAGCAGCCCCTCAGTTGGGATCCCTAGCGCTCTGGCATTGCTCCCCCTAGCATACTGATCTTGCCAGCTCTCCTTCCCTTGATTGTCACCGCTCACTCTAATTTCACCCACTTGGAATTCACTCGACTCTAGGCCCCATCCTCCTCCAGTGTTCCTGGATGACCCCTCATTATCATTTAAAGATTCCTCTGGACCTCCAACCCCGGCTCAGAGTAAGACATCTCTTTCTTGACCCCTTCTCAGAACACTCATTAGAACATTTATTTATTTATTTATTTTTAAAAATGTGATATCTCCCTTTCTCCAAGGTCACAAGATTTCCCTTAGCCCAGTGGTTGTGCGACTTTGGGGGAGGAGGCAATGGGACTCTAGGACTAAAAAATTTGCGTCTGCTCAACACCCAGATCAGTTGATTAGTCTTAGGCGGCCAAAATTCACTCTTGCTTTCTTCAGCTGAGAGACCCAAGACTCATGGCAGAGGGAACGAGACCACCAGGTGCCTAGTCCTTCTAATCCTGTCGCCCCACACTACAGCCTGATTATCAGGCCCCAGAGATTTCCTTGCCTGTTAGAGAGGTTCACTAGAGCCGTTCTAAAAAGGTTTTACAAAAAAGGCAAAACCTGAAGGGAGGTGAAGGACGACCTAGGAAAAGGAAGCAAGTTCTGTGTCACGGAGGCCCAAGGGCCAGGGGCTTAGGCTGTGGGTTGAGGGGACTGTCTGAGACTGACTTGGACCTGCACCAGCTCCAGAGTCCTGCGCAGACAGACATCGGTCCCCTCCGGCGTCTAGGTAAAGCCCACCCTCTCAGACCGCAAAGAGCCCGGATCCGACAGCAACCTCTCCGGACCAATCACAACCTTCCTTCACCAAGGAGGCGGGGTCGGGGGCTGACTTTTCCTTGTCCCCGCCCCTTTAGTCGAAGTAACCAATTCCAATGTGCCTAGAGGAAGTAAACGCAATGGGAGTAACCAATGACAACACGAAGCTTCTCGTGCGTGCTTGACCCTGCCCCTCCAGCTGCGGCAAAGATGGCGCGCGGGCTCCTGGGTTCTGTAGTTTTCTCGGGATCCAAAAGGGTCCGTGCCCAAGTGAGTCCTTACCGCCCCGCTACCCAGCGGCTTCCCCTCCGCTAGTACGCATGTCCACAGCCTCACGGCCCGGGAGAGAGGGGGCGCGGAAGGAAGGAGGCGGGACGGTATTACAAACAAAAAAATACAGCCTTCTCGAGAAGCGACTGCGGAGAGCCCGCTCCTCCCAGAAGGCGGTGCAGCCGGCCCGGGCGAGCCACGCGGAGGGTTGTGGGGCGGATAGCTCCCCTCCAGATGGAGGCTCATGAAGTAGGGTGGGCGGGGGACTCCATATCCCAGCGTGCCCCTCGGCGGGCCCTACCGGCCGCGACTCCGGGCTTGGCCCCGGCCCTAGCTCGTCGGCGGTGTATTGGGGCGCGTGGAGGCTGCAGTCACGGTGGCGCCCGCGGGGACGGAGGAGGGAATGAGTGAAGAGGAGCAAGGCTCCGGCATTACCACGGGCTGCGGGCTGCCTAGGTGAGCCGCCTCGTACCGATTCCTTCTGGGCAAAAAGCGTGGGGCCGTGCGGAGGGAGTAGCGGCGCGGCCCCAGCATGCACCTGGCCTGAGGGTTGTTCCCGGCAAGCACTGGGGCAGTGGGCAGTGGTTCCCGGCGTGCACCGGGGCAGTGGCTGCTGCCTTCAGCTCTAAATAGTTTGGGGTTGGCCCGGTTCCCAGACTGCACTGGAACACTGGGCTTTATGCCCCCACATTCAGTGCATTTGGTGGGTACTGGGTTCCTGGCTTGCACTGTGTCAGGGGGTATGCACTTTCAACCTGCATGGGGCACAGGATCGTGCCCACCTTAACTGAGGCAGGAGCAGTGCATTCTTCCCCCCTTGCTTTGAGGTAGTGGGCCCTACTCTTCCAGCCTGCACCTACACTTGGAACCCAGCCAATGGATGCTAGACTGCCTGGGGTTCGTTGGACCCTATGTCCCCCATAATGTGCCTAGGTCTGGTATGGAAGTGCTTGGCCAGGTGGGTGCAGAGAGGGGAGGTGTGATATGGGTCTGTGCCCCTTCCCCCAGTATAGAGCAAATGCTGGCCGCCAACCCAGGCAAGACCCCGATCAGCCTTCTGCAGGAGTATGGGACCAGAATAGGGAAGACGCCTGTGTACGACCTTCTCAAAGCCGAGGGCCAAGCCCACCAGCCTAATTTCACCTTCCGGGTCACCGTTGGCGACACCAGCTGCACTGGTGAGGAAGGCTTGGGCAGCCTGGCTGGGGTGTGCATTTGCAGGTCCCCATGGCTTTGTTTCTTGGAGTCTCTTTCTTCACAGTCCTTTTCTTCAAGGCCAGTGAGGGAAGGAGAGATTTCAGGGGAAAAGCTACTGACTGGATTGGGAGAACAGGGCTGTGAGAAGGTGGGTAGGACGTGGGAGAGTTAGAGGATCGATCAGGACTGCCACATCACCCTAGAGGAAAAGGAAGAGAAGATAACTGAAATCCCAGTGGAGTATTTGGGGGAGTGAGTGCCTGGCATGCTGGGCTCTGTTCCCGGTGCTTAACCAAATTCCCATTTAATTTTAAACCTCAGTCTAACCAGTGATGTAGGTGGCAGTATCCCCCCCCCACTCCTCCCCCCACCCGCCCATGTTGAATATGAGGAAACTGAGTATTTGAGATAGTAAATGGCTGGTGCATGGTCACATGCCTAGTATGTGGCTGAGTGGGGCTTTTACTCCAGAGCCTACTGTCTCTTATTCCAGCTCTCTGTTTTTATTGAGGGAAAAGAAAGTGCTTTGCAAAGGAAATTAAAGCATTTGAGTTCAGAAGTCCACCCAAGGCGTTTGAGCTCAGAAGTCCTGCTTGGCATGACTTAATTCTGGAAGCTAATGGAAAGATAAGGGCTCTTCCTTCTAGCAATTAGTGAAACACTTCCAGTCTTCAGCAGGGGGTGTTTGGTCAGAAGGGGCTTGATTGATTCCCACTGGCTCTGAGGAGAGAGGCTGTGGGATGCTGGTTTCTCTCCCATCCTTCCAGTGACCTCCAGTATTGCCCATGCCCCCTCTCTCAGGTCAGGGCCCCAGCAAGAAGGCAGCCAAGCACAAGGCAGCTGAGGTGGCCCTCAAACACCTCAAAGGGGGGAGCATGCTGGAGCCGGCCCTGGAGGACAGCAGGTGAGGGAGGAACCGAGGCATCCCAGAAGCCCTTCAAGGAACCCAGGCCCTGCACCACCCCCTCTGCCACCAGGCCTGGCCAGGTGACACTTAGCCACCCTGACCTGGCCTCTTCCTGAGAGTCCCTCTGGACCTGAACAGGGTCTTCCAGGGCGTCTGCTGCTATGAAGAATTCTTGGGGTGGAGGGGTTGGTTAGCCCCATAGAGGGGTTGTGGCAGTAGATTGGGACCTGGGTTATGGAGGGAGAGGGGTGGAGGCTGAGGCTAAAGGGAGTTGCTCCCCAACATACCTCCTTGTTCTAGCAAGATGTCCTTCCTTCACGCGCAGGTTGGAGTTTGTTGCTCCTCTGGTTCTTTGGTACAAAGAGACCCTCTTTTCTCAGTCTTTTTGCCAGTGTTAGGCGGCAAAGGATCCCAGGAGGAAGCTGTTGGTTGAGCCTCCCTGATTCTTTGGCTCAATTTGGAAGTTCTCTTAGGGGATCGGGAGGTCAGGAGGACGTGGGTCCCCAACCCCTCTCTTCCCCCTATACATGGGTGTGAATCAAAGGCCCCCTTCCCCTCGGGAAGTTCTTTTTCTCCCCTAGACTCTTCACTGCCTGAGGACATTCCGATTTTTACTACTGCAGCAGCTGCTACCCCAGTTCCATCTGTTGTCCTAACCAGGTATCTGTGTTCCCTGACTGCCTGAGGTGGGTGGAGGAAGGGGTTCTGGTTTTTGGCTCCTCAGTCTTTGGACCCAGGCTGGTCAGGCATGAGGAAGTCTGAGAATATACAGAATGGAATAGTTGGGAACCAGAACTTGAAGAAATCACAGCAGCTGGGGTAAGCTCTTGGGACAGAAGGTCATTTGTGATTTTCAGATAGCCTTATGGATGATGTTCGACCATATTTAAGGGTCTCACAGGCCCCATTTTCTTCTGGGTTGACCACATGTTAGTTCTGTGTTTGAGGCCCATCAGGCACTTCTGGGACTGGAAATACAGCTCTTCTCCCACTGTCCTGGCTTGGATGATACACAAGTGTTCCAGATTGGAAATGGGCTAAGGCCTGGAGAAGGCCTCCCTTGAGTGGGAGGGGGAAGGAAGCCGGCTAGAGCAGGAGGGAGCAGGCTTGATGTGTGGACAGACAGCTGCCTGCCCGGTGGGAATCAGGAGATTGGTAGTCGGGAATCTAAAGTAGTGGTTAGGCTTGGAGCTCATGGGCAGGCTCAGATGGAACCCTTCACCTCAACTTTGGCCCTATGCCCTTTTTCCTTCAGGAGCCCCCCCATGGAACTGCAGCCCCCTGTCTCCCCTCAGCAGTCTGAGTGCAATCCCGTTGGTGCTTTGCAGGTGTGCCCCATCCTCATTTCGCATGCATGCCTGTCTTCCTTTGAGCCAGGGGCCATGAGGGAAGGTTATGTGTGTTTGGGGGTGGGGGCAGTTCCCCGTACTGAGGCCCTTTCCACCCCCCTCTCTCCTTCCTCTCACCTAGAGTCTGAGGCTCCTGCGTGGGGACCAGCGTGGGTGTGAGAAGCCTTTTTTCACTCAGCCTCATGCACCCTGTGTCTCCCTTCCAAGGAGCTGGTGGTGCAGAAAGGCTGGCGGTTGCCAGAGTACACAGTGACCCAGGAGTCCGGACCAGCCCACCGCAAAGAATTCACCATGACCTGCCGAGTGGAGCGTTTCATTGAGATTGGTAACCCGGCAGGAGGGGGTTCTCACAGCTCCTCTCCCGCAGCACTCTGGCCCCAGCCCCAGAGCAGCTCCTAGCCTCACTCTGCTACACCCCTTGCTCTCTTAGCTTTACAGTCCCTGGCTCAGCCCCTTCCTTTTAGCTTCTTGGCACCCTATCTGTCCCCTTCTCCCTGGCCGACCAGGTTCTCAGGTGCACGGGCAGGTCCTGAGTTCCCCTTTCCAGTTGACATTCTGGGGGGACCCTTAATCCAAGTATGACCTGGGTGAAAGCGCTGGGTCTGTGGGGAATCATAATCCAGCAGCCCTCTCTCCACATGCAGGGAGTGGCACTTCCAAAAAATTGGCAAAGCGGAATGCGGCGGCCAAAATGCTGCTTCGAGTGCACACGGTGCCTCTGGATGCCCGGGATGGCAATGAGGTGGAGCCTGATGATGACCACTTCTCCATTGTGAGTGGCTCATGTGGGCTGGGCACCATGGCCCATCCTCCATGCCAGGGCAGGGCTCCAGGGACTTGGGTCTGTGACTCAGCAGTGAGCCTCTCTGGGTCCTAGGCCTGCTTCTACCACACTTTTCCTACCAGACCTAGGGTTCCTGGGGCCGACTCAGCCTTGACTGTAGGCCCGCTCTGTAGCTCTGTTACTGGGATGAGGAAGGATGCTTGGCTATCTGGCCCAGGACCTGGTAGTTAGAAGGGGCCACCCAGGGATTGAGTGGGGGGAGGCAAGCTGGAGGAAGCATTCTTTGTTCTCCTTTGACGTTGAATATTTCAATGCCTGGGTCCCACAGTCTCTCGCTTCATCTTTCTCACTGTTCCCATCTTGACAGGGTGTGGGCTCCCGCCTGGATGGTCTTCGAAACCGGGGCCCAGGTTGCACCTGGGATTCTCTACGAAATTCAGTGGGAGAGAAGATCCTGTCCCTCCGCAGTTGCTCCCTGGGCTCCCTGGGTGCCCTGGGCCCTGCCTGCTGCCGAGTCCTCAGTGAGCTCTCTGAGGAGCAGGCCTTCCATGTCAGCTACCTGGATATTGGTATGGCTAGCTGGGGAGTGAGCCAGGGGCTGGTGGGGGCTGGACTGGAGCAAGTAGAAGGGGGTGATGATGACGTGAACGCACCCCTCCCCAGGGCTACCTCCCCACCCAACATCGCCTCCCTCCTCTCTCTTGCTCTCCAGAGGAACTGAGCCTGAGTGGACTCTGCCAGTGCCTGGTGGAACTGTCCACCCAGCCGGCCACTGTGTGTCATGGCTCTGCAACCACCAGGGAGGCAGCCCGTGGTGAGGCTGCCCGCCGTGCCCTGCAGTACCTCAAGATCATGGCAGGCAGCAAGTGAAGCCCCAGCTGGACTCATGGATGTGCACCCTTTGCTCCCTGCTCTTTCTGCCTCTGGGCTCATGTATCTGCGCAGCTCTGGTACCCTCTGTGGGTACCATCTCTACCTCTGACACAGACTGCCTGCCTTGAGGCTGAGAAGGCACAGGGCAAGGAGCCAAGGACCACAGGGCCTCAGCCAGCCCAGGATTTGTCCTCATTTTATTGGTGATGATGAATGGGAATGAAATCGGGGCTGTCTACTAGAGCCTGGAATAAATATGCTGCTTTGTAGATTTTTAAGCCCTTCTCTTGTTTCCTGAGCAGTGTGGATAGCAGAGGAGGTCACCACATGACTTTTGTGTGCCTTCCCTGAGCTCCTGTCCCAGCCATTCTCATGTTTTCCTTTCTGGTGGGAGGAGGCTGGGTGCACTGGCCTCCTGGAATGTTGTCGGCTGCCTTGTTGGAGGGCTGGGTTTGGTGGAGAGGGAAGGGCAGTGGTTCTTGCTCTTGGGCTTCCACCCAGCCCTGTAAAGTCTCACACAGACACACATGGATTCAGAAGCCAGACAACTTTATTTGGGGGGCAAATATTGACACTTTTGGGTGTGGGCCTTGCATGCAAACATATCAAGGGATGACATGTCACTTCTTCCCAAAGCGTTGAGGGGCAGCCAGGCTCCAGAACTGGGAATTCAGCCCCTCTCCAGCCCGGGGACTCAGCCGTTCATTGCTCCAGGATCCCCGGGTATTTCTGCCAAACCTTAGGAAAGATTTGTCCTCAGGTCCCTGCAGTCTCTCTTCTCTAGCCCCCTTCCTTCTCCTCGTCCTCTGTCTCCTGCCCTTTCTACCCCCAACCCCTTGCCATGCTTGTGTCCCTTTCAGACTCACCTCTGGGGCTGAAACAGGAAGGCTTGGCTCCGGCCAGGTCTCTCCATTGCCTGGAGCAGGTAGCGCAACAGTGACCCAGAGGTCTGGGCATCCTGTGGCGGGAGGGGTTCACTGTCTTCCTCCTGTGCCAAGGGGGTGTCAGGGAAGGAAGATGGGCAAATACCCTGGACATGTAAGTCACAAAGGGAAGGGACTGGCTTCCAGGGGCAAGGGGTAGGAGGCTGCAGAACCATTTCCTCAGATGTGAGGACCTAATGGCAACCTTGGCAGCCAGAGAAAGTATCAGAACCTAGAGCACAAGTCTCAACCGAGGTAGAGGCAATGGTGATATGGGGATGGGACACACACTTACCGCGGGGAGCTGGTGGTCTTGCTGGCCTCCTGGCCCTTCAGCACAGCCCTGGTCTATTAACAGCAGCAGCACCAGCAGTGCAGCAGCCTGCCTAGAATCCATGCTGCCATCCACCCTCCTACAGCCACCCCAGCCTCTTATACCTGCTGTCCCCCCCACCCCCAGCCTCACAGTAGCCTTAGGGGAATCTAGAGCAGGCAAATGGAAATGCAGGGCTCATTAGGAGCCACCTGGGATCTCCTCCCATGGCACCCCCAGGACTTCATGCTCTCAGCCTCCTGCCCCAGGCCCCTAAGCCTGGAGTTACAGACTTTATTAGATGCATAAATCCTGTCTCCAGAGCTCAAGAAGCGTCATTAGTTGCAGACGCTTTGTCAGAGCTAGGCCCTGGGGAGCCTTACAAGAACCCCTAATCCCTCAACAGGTTGGAGAGCTTCAGTTTATCACTTCCCCTCTTTCCTAACTTGTAGACTAAAGCACAAGAAACTCATGTCAGGATTAGTTAAGTAGGATGTCCTGGAGTGGAAGAGGAGTAGGAAGAGCCAGGGTCAGAGTCTGTCAGGATGACCAGGCAGGGCCACACAGCCTATCCTCTGCTTGTGTGCCTCTTGGAGGCTACTCAGATTTGCCTGTGGATAAAAAATATATTCAACTTCATGATGGTGCAGAGAATTTAACTTTTTTTTTTTCTTTTTGAGACAGAGTTTCACTCTTTTTGCCCAGGCTGGAGTGCAGTGGTGCGGTCTCGGCTCACTGCAACCTCTGGCTCCCGGGTTCAAGCGATTCTCCTGCCTCAGCCTCCCAAGTAGCTGGGACTACACAGGTGTGAACCATCATGCCCAACTTGTATCTTTTTTTTTTTTTTTAATTAAAAAAAATTTTTTTTGGCCGGTGCAGTGGCTTGCACCTGTAACCCCAGCACTTTGGGAGACCAAGGTGGGTGGATCACTTGAGGTCAGGAGTTTGAGACCAGCCTGGCCAACATGGTGAAACCCTGTCTCTATAAAAATACAAAAATTAGCTGGGGGTGGCGGCGGGTGCCTGTAGTCCCAGCTACTCAGGAGGCTGAGGCAGGAGAATCGCTTGAACCCGGGAGTCAGAGGTTGCAGCGAGCTGAGATGGCACCACTACACTCCAGCCTGGGCAAAAAGAGAGAAACTCTGTCTCAAAAAAAAAGAAAAACCATTAAGATATAGAAGGAGGCTACAGGGTTTTGGAGCCCACTGAATGGGTGTGGCTTCAAATCTTTGCAGACAGAGCCTCATCTTCACTAGAGAGCACTGCTTCGGACTGGCCTCATTGCCCTTGCTACAGAGTCGTCCTCCACAGCTGAAGCACTGCTGCCACCCTGTGGTCACAGCTCCTCACTGCCAGCTCCGGCCATTTCCTTTTCCTAGAATAGACCTCTGCAGAGGAAGTGAGGAGGGTGAGGCTGAGTGGAGGTGCTAGGGTCCAGACTCTAGGGAGTCCCAGAAAGACAGGAGCAGGCTACTATGGGGCTGGACTATCATTCTGCCCCCAACTCTGGTCACCACAGCCTCTGCCTGGCTCTGGCTCTCACATACTAGAGTAGCCTCGAATCCTGTCTTAAGAAAAATCAGGGCCGGGCGCGGTGGCTCAAGCCTGTAATCCCAGCACTTTCGGAGGCCGAGACGGGCGGATCACGAGGTCAGGAGATCGAGACCATCCTGGCTAACACGGTGAAACCCCGTCTCTACTAAAAAAAATACAAAAAACTAGCCGGGCGAGGTGGCGGGTGCCTGTGGTCCCAGCTACTTGGGAGGCTGAGGCAGGAGAATGGCGTAAACCCGGGAGGCGGAGCTTGCAGTGAGCTGAGATCCAGCCACTGCACTCCAGCCTGGGCGACAGAGCGAGACTCCATCTCAAAAAAAAAAAAAAAAAAAAAAAGAAAAATCAGAATCACTAATCCTCAGGGAGAGGCCTTCAAAGCCATATGGTGCAGGTTCCTTCTAATCCTCGAGTCCATTTCTGAGAATCCCCACCAGTGTGGGTCTCTAGCCTGTGCCGAGGAAGAGCCAAGACATAAAGGCCCTGGCCCCTGCTTGAGCAAGTTGTCTCCCACTCTGAGCTTCAGTTTCCTCACCTAAAACATGGGCCCATTTTACAAGGAACTCCTTCCTAGGGTATGCATTACTTCACATACTTTTTGTAATCCATTCAGTAAAACAGCTGGCATAGAACAGGTATCCTCAAAACGTTAGCTGTGATTACCTCACGTGCCCCAGTCAGGGAACTTATCGTCTCCTCAGACAGTCTTCAGACATATTTATCCTTGTGCTGAGGGGGATTTGGGCTTCCTGTGACTTCTACTGGGGGTCTCACCTAAAACATGGGCCCATTTTACAAGGAACTCTTCCTAGGTATGCATTACTTCACATACTTTTGTAATCCATTCAGCAAAACAGCCGGGTACAGAACAGGTATCCTCAAAACGTTAGCTGTGATTACCTCACGCCCAGTCAGGAACTTATCGTCTCCCGTACAGCCCTGACACATTTATCCCAGCTGAGGATCGGGGCCTCCCACTCTACCGGTCCAGCTCTGTCTACCAAGTCCTCAACAAGAACACCCTCAATCCTTTATGTAAAGCTGTGGCTTGTGCTGAGGGGGATTTGGGCTTCCTGTGACTTCTACTGGGGGTCTTAGTTTGCTCCATTAAGTCTCAACAGAACATCTCTCATCTCTTTCATGTGTAAAAGCTCTTCATATTTTTGAAGACAGAGTTCATTCTTCTACTCCAGTCTTTTTTTGAGATCGAGTCTGGCTCGGTCACCCAGGCTAGAGTGCAGTGGTGTGATCTCGGCTCACTGCAACCTCTGCCTCCCGGGTTCAGGTGATTCTCCTGCCTCAGCCTCCCAAGTAGCTGGGATTATAGGCACACACCACTATGCCTGGCTAATTTTTGTGTTTTTAGTAGAGCTGGGGTTTCACCATGTTGGCCAGGCTGGTCTTGAACTCCTGACCTCAAGCAATATACCCGCCTTGGCCTCCCAAAGTGTTGGGATGACAGGCTGAGCCACCACACCCAGCCCACTCCAGTCTTTTTTGCTCAAGGGGAAGCACCCCACTCTTTAAGGCAAGGCATCTAGGAACCAACTTATCCTTTAGATATGCAGATCACAGCAGTTTGGATCTGGATGCTCCAGATACCGTATTTCTATTAATGCAGACTAAGCCAGGGTAAACCTTTTTGTAAGCTTTGTCTCATGGTTGGTCCCAAGCATAGACCTGACATTCATCATCATGGCATCTTGTAGTTTCACTTGTTTTTTGAGATGGAGTTTTGCTCATGTTGCCCAGGCTGGAGTGCAATGGCTTGATCTCAGCTCACTGCAACCTCTGCCTCCCAGGTTCAAGTGATTCTCCTGCCTTAACCTCCCGAGTAGCTGGGATTACAGGCATGCGCCACCGCACCTAGCTAGTTTTGTATTTTTAGTAGAGATGGGGTTTCTCCATGTTGGTCAAGCTGGTCTTGAACTCCCGACCTCAGGTGATCCGCCGCTTGGGACCCCCAAAGTATTGAGATTACAGGCATGAGCCACTGCGCCCGGCCAGTTTACCACTTCTTAAAAGGGAGTATCAAAGACATGGGAAGATGGCTTTTCTGTGGGCAGTAGCTGCTGCATCCCAGTATGATCCTTGTCTGCTCCTATCTGACAGAGGTCCAGAGAAGCAGCAGTGTGAGGGTGGATGGGACACTGCAGAGCTGGCTCTGGGTCAGACAGAACTCAGTTGTAATCCTAGCTCTTGAACGTCACTATGTGACTTGGCTAAACCTCAATTCATCATCAATAAAATGAAGCGACTATTCCTGTTATCACGAGGTGAACAGTAAAGCAATCTACCATTCCATGTAGCATAGGGCAGACACTCCATGTTTACCATCCTGCTGCTTCTAGTATTTCTTTAAACATCAATTACAAGTGGCTCCCGGATGAGCTGCATTCAGAAAGAGGCTGGTCTAGGGGGCTTCCTGTGTCTAGGATGGAGGTGACTGGTCTCCTTTGAAGTTGGAATGGGTTGATTCCCCTAATTTGGTAAACTGCCCAGTTTTCAGAGTGCATTCCCACCTCCAAAACCTCATAATCTGGGCTTTGGTATTTGGCTTTTAGCAATTTCCTCTCTTACCCTTATCTGGACCCCCATGTGCTCTTGGCCACAACACAGTGAAGACCACCACTGCCTTTCCTGCTCTCCTCAGGAGGCACAGGCTATTTGTGTCAAGTGTCTACCAAACACCAGTCACAGATAGCTTCTTAAATCACTTCTCTCCTACTGGGAAACTCCAGAGACACCTGCTATCTCTTTTGTCAAATTCTTCAGCCTGGCTCATTGTTCTCATTTGTGATGTTAATTATAAAGGAATATACAGATGCAATAAATTATCTGTGATTTCCCTACATGTCTTCCTGATTCCCATAGTCTCTGAGCATTACCTGTTTTTCTTGTGAACTCTTACCCGCTTCTTTTTTTTTGTTTGTTTTGAGATGGAGTTTCACTCTTGTTGCCCAGGCTGGAGTGCAATGGCGTGATCTCAGCTCACTGCAACCTCTGCCTCCCAGGTTCAAGCAATTCTCCTGCCTCAGCCTCCTGAGTAGCTGGGACTACAGGCATGTGCCACCACGCCTGGCTAATTTTTGTATTTTTAGTAGAGACGGGGTTTCTCCATGTTGGCCAGGCTGGTCTTGAATTCCTGATCTCAGGTGATCCACCCGCCTCAGCCTCCCAAAGTGCTAGGATTACAGGCATGAGCCACCATGCCTGGTTTTCTTACCTGCTTCTAAATAAACTCTGCCCCTCATTTCCAGACCAGCCTCCTCTTTACCATAGAAAGCTATACTGTCTTTGTGTGTGTGCTCCCTGGTCACAATGGCAACTTTTTTTTAATGGTTGGGTGGGGGTTGGCAACAAAACACTGAAAAGTAAAAGGCCATTTGCCATCAGCAACTCTCCCACCCACCATCCACATAAAGCACATACTAAGTTTCCTGGTGAGTGCTGCTGCCAGGATGCCAACGGCCTTTGTCTCCAAGGCAGTCCACAGGAGCTTTGTCCCGGGCCTTCTGTCATACTTTGTAATTTATAGAAATCATCCACCTTCTATAGGCTGTGTCTCCCCTGCATAAAAAGACAAG